ATTAGCAACGGAGTAATTGTCCCGGCCCTCAGTCAGTCGTGCCTATCAAAACGAAACATGAGAACCGAACTTTCGCTGTCTTGTCCTAATGACACTGAGCTTCAGTGGAATAGGATCTCAGCCGCCATGCACAACGCAGGAGCATCTTCTTTTGGTACTATCAATCGCTACCGCACCAATCACTGGATATCCGAGAGGTCGGTGAACCTGTTGGAATCCAGCAGAAACCTCCCGGCTGGCTCTGAGCACAATCTATCCAGAGACCATTAGGTGTGAACTAAAGGGTAGCCTACGTGCTGAGACAGATGCTTGGTGGACCAGTCGGGCTCAAGTAATGGAGGAGGCAGGATCAGTAGACAATTACCGTAAGCTCTTCCAGCTGATCCGCACCACTGGTCCCAGGAAACCAGGTGTCAGTGAGACAGCGTCTTATGGCTCGTTGGGCGGAACACTTTAAGATCAGTTCAGTTTGCTCCCTGCTCCCGGACCTCTTCCTACTCACGTGAAGCAGAACGAGCCACGGCCGGCTAGTTTAGAGTCTCCATCGAACACCGAGGACCGAAACGCGATCACAGCCCTCAATTGTTTTCGTGCTGCTGGCCCGGATTCCCTCTCACCCATAATATTTAAGGGTGGAGGTGAGGTCCTCTGCAAAACACTGACCTCCCTATTTGAACATATCTGGAAGGAAGTGTCCCGGCTAACTGGAGTGAATCGATTATAGTGGCAATTTACAAGAAGGGCAGTCGCACAGATTGTGTTAACAACAGGTGTATTACTTATGAGTGGAGGGATTTTGGTGAGTCTTTTTGTTGGTCGCAATCATCCGACAGACCAGATACGTCAACGAGCTATCCGGAAAAGCACCAGACGGCCGTTTCGCCCTATTGAGGCTCATCAGTAGTGCGCATCCTTCGATCCTTTGTGGAGGATCGAACCCATGACTGCTAGTGGCTCTTGCTATGTCGATTCATAGCTGCCGTAACCGGGAAGTCCTGACGCCGGAAGTCCAACCGCTGTCATCTGCATGGCAGGTGCCTGCATGGCAGCGGAGGATAGGTCGGGCTATATCGCATTTAGCCAACAATTCGTGATGGTCGGATACCGTCCTCCATGGCGCAGTTGCATAAGCTGCAGGCTAGTTGGCAAGAGCCACTAGCAGTCATGGGTTCGATCCTCCGCAGAGGACCGAAGGATGCGCACCACTGATGAGCCCCAATAAGGCGAAACGGCCGTCTGGTGCTTTTCCGGATAGCTGGTCGACATATCTGAACTGTCGGCTGATTGCGACGAACAAAAACAGGTATATTAGCCCAGTAGTGGCAAAGTTACTGGCTTTGATTCTAGTTTGTCGCGTCACTGCGGAGCGAGAATCACGGATTAGGGAAGAACTGACATGTTTCCGCCCAGGGGGTGACTGGATAGACCATATATTCACTCTGCGTCAGTTGCTAGAGCAGCGCTGCGCATACGGCGGACCGACAATAGCTGTATTCCTCGACTTCAAGTGTGCGTTCGATTCAGTAGCTCGATGCATTCTGTTCGAACTACTTGCGTGTAAAGTGCTCCCACGAAATATGTGACCGTCTAACGCGCTCTATGCTTTAAGATTACAGTCTGCTTCAGGGTCTACCGTAACCTGTCGGATAGGTTTCCGACCATTACTCATGTTTGTCCGATCTCCCCACGTTTGCTCACTTTTCTTGGAGACTACATCATGAAATGATGCCTTGCGGCATTTCACGAGGCAGGCATTGAGGTGTTATCTGGAGAAATTCTAGTTTACCTTGATTATGCGAACAATATCGTCTTGCTGTTTAGCGATATTAAGGCGACCCAATCAACCCTTAATAGCCTGTCTAATGTGGTCCCATTATTTGGTATGCCCTTGAAAATGCAAAGTGCAAAGTGTTGCTGCCGAAACACCAACCACTTACTGACTCCTTGACCCTTGATAACTAGGAACTCGAGATGGTTGATCGATTCACTTACATTGGCACCTGCGTCAGCAACCATAATCACACTGAAACTGAAGTCAGTTCACGCACTGCAAAAGACAGAACTGCCTTCTCGAACCTGCGGCATTCTTGGCAACAGAATGGAGTTCCCCTCCGTTTGAAATGCCGTGTTTACAAGGCCACAGTGAGAGCTGTCCTCCTCTATAGGAGTGAGACTTTGGCGCCTACAAGTCTTCGATCATCGTTGTCTGCGGAGCATTGCTGGTGTTGGATGGCACCAGCACATCCGCAACGATGATGTGCGTCGGAGAGTATTAGGCAGTGATTATCATGCTAGCTCCCTAGAACATCAAAGCCCACTGAATAAGTTGAGTTGGCTGGCACGTGCTACGTATGCCTGGTCACTGCTTACCGAGAAAGGCCTTGTTTAGTCTGCAAGATGTAAGAGGGCGCAAGGCTCGAGGTGGACATAAGTTGACTTGGCAGAATGAAATGAAGTCAGTGACGACCAAATTGGGTGCTGTTGATCCGTCTCGCCTTCCGGCATGGAGTCCACGTGACCTGCCTTGTGTTTGGCTCGAGACTTTACAGGATATGACTCGCAACGTACACGAGTGGCGCGTCTATTGCTGTCTCCTAGTCGGATTGCCTGTTTACAGTGTGTTTGGTGCTGAATTATTTGCGGGGCCATGGCTGATTATGACGCGGGGTGGTGAAAGCCGCAAGGAAGCTGTCTTGTCGATGCCGCCTTATCTTTGCATGATAGACAGCTGTTTGTGACGTTATGTTGTATCTAAACAAGGTGTAGACGCCTTGACCGTGAATGTTTGCTTAGGGCATTAAGGTTTTCAGGTAAGTCCCCATTCTCTCCCTCTTCTAATTCTTTATTACATACGTCCTCATGGTTGTATGGCAGCGAAGCATCAGTTCAAATGGCTGATGTTCTGCTGTTTTTGATTGTTTGATACATATATCGGCTGAATGCACATCGATTCGCACTACCAGGTCAAGTCATTCTGGTGCGTATTTTGAGCACTCGCTCTAATGTCCAAGTCATCCTTGAAATCGTCAAACCGATGTTCAGTAAGGTCATCCCACTAGGGTATCCGGCTTTGCTATTCTCAGTGAAGGCCTGTGCTCCAAATGTAGTTGTCCTGACAGTACGCTAAGCTATAAAAAAACTATTCTCGATAACTACTAATGGTAGATAATGTTAGATGATGACTGGTGGGTAGACTGCATTCCTCGAATGTGCATGCCAACAATTAATAGGGATAGAACGAATTCGTAGCCTCTACTGATTCCATAATAGTGCCGTATCCATTACTGTGAGCTGTTTCAGAACGGAAAGTCGCCCCGTTAACATTTTCACTCAATTATGCCCTCAAGAACGTGTACCGAATTCATCTAAGCTTTGCTGTACGCCGCGCCAGATCTCACTCATACATGCGTCGAAACCACATTTTATTCAACATGTCTATAACGTGTACCTTGACTTTATTCACTAGTATGACTGGCTCTAGAGGATAAGCTTTAATTTGTTATTCTGAATGGATTTTGGCGAACTACTTTGCTATTTTTTGGATGTCAGTTTTTGCTAAGGTGCCGCTTCGTCGGAACTATATTGTTGCATTCTGCATTCACCTCGATGTCACCGGTAGTCGTTACGTTCAGTTTGGCCGACACTTTCTTCAGCTCTCTGCATTTTTTACTATACTCCTAGTCACAGTATGTTTATCAGATTCAAGCGAGCGGACCAGAATGTGCATTGATAAACTGCGTACTATCGCTATCACCCATCACTTCTCCCATAAACTGTGATTTGATCTGATGAGTGCAAGTGCCATCAGTTGACACAATCCCTTATCGGTTGACATCAAAATCAAAAGTTTCTCTAATATGATTACATCTTACACCTGGTGGATGATTGGGTGCCCAGTCCCAGTACGGTACACTTGCAAAAGCCAGCACTTTCTCTACCATACTCCCAGACACGCTGAAACATAGAAAGTATTTGAGTTCCGATTAGTTTATGCAAGATAAATCACGCTTCCCTTACATCATGTTGTTGAGTAGCATACAACATCCCGTAAAAGCGAGTTGGTTAACCTGCTGTTTTTCCTCCAAGCGAATAGCAACTAATGTTCAAAAATCCAATTGTTGAAAACGTAAATAGTTTTTGAAAGTTCGACTACTGATCAGCTACTGAGTCTCTACACCATTTCCCGGCTAAGTTGTCCTCTTAGGCAACAGAAATAATCTGAGGGGGCATTCAACATGAGTCTACTCAATTAATTTGTTCCGTGCGTAGGAGCTGAAGCGTCCCACCTGCACCACTATGGCTTAGTGCGTCTGAGATCCAATTGGCTGAAGGCGACGGGCCATACAAGCACACCTACACACCTGCACAAGTAACTGGCCTACGCACGGAACAAATTAATTGGGTAGACTCATGTTGAATGCCCCCTCAGATTATATCTGTTGTCCAAGAGGATAACTTGGCCGGGAAATGGTATAGTATCAAGCCAGAAGTTGTGAAGAGTCCGAATTCTGAGTGGCACAAAGCTTGGTTGATGATCAAAACCGACACCAAGCCAGAGAATTGATAGGTACTTCTGACGCACTCCGCTCTAGGTACATAGTAGTCCCCAACATTTGTCGGCTGATGGAAGCCGACTGTGATTACTTATGTTTATCTTCTGTGTTTTCACTCAATTTCTTCATCATGCAGTATGCTTCCAGATGTGGTTGCTGAATTTATATGGAGTCGGCCGGGTAGGGTGAAAAAATGATGCACTAAGTCTAACTTGCTACTGACTAAGATAGTATGGACACTCTGAATGCCAAGTATCTAACCAGAAACTTTCGTGGTGGTGAAGTACCATCCTTAACCTTATATCAGACCGAATAAGTTACTTGATGCTATGGCTACCGGTAGCTATCTGACCTGGCCTCTGCCATAAATTGCGCCGAACCTATTCAGCCCACTGCTCCCGTACATATGTCTGACCGTTTCCAAATATTCTGCCTCTCACCTTGCAGCTTTCATTGGGCCGATGCTCAGCACAGCCGCTCCTCGTGACGGTTTCACTATGTACAACGAAGTCATCGCCCCGATGTACTCCTACGCCTGGTTCCACTTTATCTACGCACTGGCAACGCTCTATGTCATGGCTCAGCTGACGAACTGGTACAAGTGAGTTTAACCGTTGTTTGTGACACACTTGACCAAATCATACTGCTGTTGCCATTTAGGAAGAGGATACTAGATTACAGCGTACGCGATCCGTACCAACCGACAATAAAAGCAGTTTTGCTTTGTCTTTCGCTTGATACGGTTAAGTACAGTTCACTACTCCGTCCTCAGCGCAAATGCAGCACATGCAACAAATGGGCTTCTTCACTGCCCTGTTCCAATTTCCCGTCTCGTGTCGTATTTTTGTTTGATTTCAACTGATGTTGGTAAGCCTTCGGTGTCACAAATTTACCTGCAATGCACAGGCGGAGGACATTATTAACGAAATGTTATTCATCCAACCAATCATCCAGTGCAATCGAAAAATTCGCCGAACCACAATTTCGTCTTTTCTGTACGCGTCAGTAATGCACGGCGTCTCTCGTGTTAAGTGCCTCAGTAGTGTGGGCCACAGCAAATGTCAGCGACTGATGTCACAAAGTACAATGAACAATGCACAATGAATTTATGCGGGTTAAGAAGCGTTGCTTTACAAGTCCCGTTGGATAGTTGGTGGGGATATCAACATAACAATAATGATGGTAAGCATAGTAAAATTGTTAATAATTTAAATATGAAAATAAGGACTTGTCGTTTGCTCCGCTGTAGTCCTGCGATCCTCTTAGATTCACAGCACCCACAGTTAACAACAAATAATTCCATGGTAAACTCCAGGTGTAGGATGGAGGCGTAGTGTTAAGTAACAAAGTGTAAGTGGATGAGTGCATCGTCCAACCGTCTTTTAAATACTGTTAGTGTCGGTGCAGTGACGACCGATTCTGAGAGAGCATTCCACGGGTGATAGACACGGATGGAAAAGAAATTTCTGCGGCACTCCAGACGACTGTATTGTTCTGCGAGTTTTAGTGAGCGGCCCCTCAGGATTGTATTGCTGCTGAGTTACAGTCAAGGGCGGCACACATGATGTGGGTCTCGCAAAATCAAGTATGCCATGATCAGATCGCCTCGTAGTCTGCGATAGCTTCCGCTGGATATCCCCCTTCGTTGCAGCCTCTCCTGTTATGAAAGATTGCGCATTCCAGTTACGTTCTTAGATGCCCGGCGTTGAGGCTGCTCCAGTGCATTAAGGTCGTGTTTCAGCCATGGGTGCCAGGCTTGAATTGCATATTCGACATGGGGGCGAACATACGCGCTGAGCATTTGTCGAAATATGGAGCTGTTTATTTGTCCAAATGCCCGCCTGAACAGCCCGACGTGTTGGTTCCCGGTCTTCGAGGCCTTTTCGGATTGCCTGGAGCAACCCAAGTCATCTTGAACCAGGACACCCAAGTCACGTTCAAGAGTTGATTGTCGTAGTATGAGTAGCTGCCCTGTTGTTGGATGGAAAGCACCTTGCATTTACTGACGTTGAAATGCAGCAAGTTTTGGGTCAACCATTGATACACCGTATCTAGGTCACTCTGAAGCACATGTTGGTCGGCGTTCGCCGGGATCCTGCGCCAGATCTTGATACCGTCGGCAAACTTTAGGAAGTTTGAAGCGGTTCCCTGTGTAGCTTACGTAATGAATCGGCGAGCTACCTCACCACTGTTTTCCTAGCCAAAATACCCTTATCTGCATCCGTCTTGGCTCTGGGACAGGGTTCTGTTTGTAATGGCGCATTCCGTTTTTGATTCACTCATCGGGGTTGGATGCTGCGCGTTGCTGACTCTTCCCTGAAAAGCACTACTCCTTACGGTACTTTGCTGGACTTTGGTGACCAACTAGCTGGTTCTTTTTATGAGATATCCCCCTACTAATTACATGTGACTGGAAATTCGGTAAGTATTGTTGGTAGCTACCGCTGAAATCTGTTATTCACTGGAAAGTTATTATTGCTGCGGTCGTTGTGCTCCAGTTTTCCTCGTCAGGAATCACCGCCTCATTTGAAGTCGTGTCACTGAGTGCGTAACTTTCTAAACTCACTAATATTCCTTATAACCTTGCAGTAAATGAAAGCTTTACTCTGAAATTACTCATTTCAGCTGCATTTGCTGCCTATCTTTTTCTGGATCAGACTGCTTGTTCATAGGAAAGCATGAAATCGACCAAGGGAGCCTCAGTTCTCCCGTCGCATTTTCAATCATCAGGCTACCTAGCCCTGAGTAAAAATTCAGGTTCTTCTAACAGTCAACGCAGAATATTGGAGTTACGCATTGCCACTTACACACAGATCTCTGTCTGGGTCTACTCTCATGTCTTTGGCCATCAGCATCAGTCACCAGTCACACTAACTGCCAGAATGGGTTGATTTTAAGAGTAGGGTTTTATCCCAACTGCCGTTCGTTCAAGATTCTCAATCTACTTCACACCACTGAATAGTCCCCTTTCCCCTCTTACTGTGCGCCTCATCGAAGTTTACGTGTGGTGTACCTTCACTAAGTGTAAACGAGATACTACTACGTCCCCGGATGCTGGATCTAAATCCCAGTTGTGAAGTCACCGAAATTCGGATCTCCGCTTTAACCTACGTGGTCCTTTCTATTTGCGTTGCCGGCAAGGCAGCCTTCAGTCCCAACACAGAATAGGGTCTCCACAAATGGATCCAAATGAGAGGTTTCATGCTTGCGATTAGACCGCGAAACCTATGGGCCAGGGTGAGTACAGATAGAGTAAGCTGAATCTACTGTGCTGTTCGAACATTCACTCGCAACGACATTAGATCGAAACTAGTATCCTTTGTTGTTGTCGGTTAGCTACACCAGCAGCAGGATTACCAACGCCGATCTTCTTTCTGGGTACCAATCCCTCGGGAGGAGCATTAATGTCTGGAGAAAGGTCACTATACACCTGTACCAGATGAAACCTATGCGGCACTGAAAAATACTTTCAACACATTTGTTCCCATCGTGACACGGGCGTCGGCATAGCGCCCTACATCCAACTTGTCCGCACTCCCATCATCTACAAGTAACATGGCCGTGTATATTCTGGCGATTAAGCAGAAAAGCTCATCTATTTTCAGATCTTGACTTGGTTCTTAACCTCCCTTCGGTTTGTCGCTCAGCGGACAACCTCATATCCCTCAATGCCACATTATGAATGTGAAAATGGAAGTCAGTTTTACCGAAACACGAGCTGAAGGCAAACAAGATTTGCCTCCTTGGAGGCGATTAATTAAAAAGCTATTGAAGCTACCTTTCCCACTCTCATTTCATACGTTCGATTGGGAATTATTTGTCTGTCCGGATTCTGCTCCTACTGTACCTTAAGTGTATGGGCATTCATTATCACCTAAACTGTTGATGTCCCCATCTTTATTCGTATTGTCATGATAATCGTATTTACCGTAGATGATGAAAATGCTCTACAATCAAGTGTAGAAGCTATGGTATAAAACGGTCAACGAAATATCACCGTCTTCCGATGGGATGGCATTTAATCGTGAAAAACAAACCAGATGCAAGATGACCGTCTTATCTTGGACTATGCCATGCTGAAATAAAAGGGTGGGGGGGGTAAGCGCAATCAATACTCAGTCTTTATGCCAACTTAACCGAGTATAGCATCGGAACACAATATATGCTAGCGTTCGCAGTAGTCGAGCGGAGCACAGGGTTGGCGCCACAACGCACTTTGGCCATTTAGGTCCAGTAGCCATTTTTGTGCCGTACCGCAGCAGAGGGTTACTAGTAACACAATTCATCCGGTGGTCAGTCGCAACAAGTAAACCCTCAAAAACCCAAGCGTACTGCCATAATGTGTTTCGAGTTCTTCTGGCGAAGTTGGTCACATGTGTACATTTTGCCACGTCGCCTGATCGGTACCATAGCATCGGCAGCATGAAGTCTACTAATGTAAGCAGTAGGCCAATCGACTGTTAGCCAAGTGGCATAATCAAGCTCCCGTGTTCGTTCATTGACCCATTGCTTCGAGTGTATTAACGTGGGTTAAACGAATGTGCTACTTTCTTACCAGATCACTAAGCATTAACATGTGCTGTGAAAATCAATATTGTGTTCCAGCGTGTGGGGAGGAACTAATCACTGGGTTATTCAGTGGATATTATGAATAAATTAGGATTCAATGAATCACTGGCATTGCTGGTCTTCAGCAAAGCAAATATTCCCATTTCATTAATCTAAATCAATATCAGAAATCAGTTCAGGGTGAAGAATATTTTTCGGTAAACTCTCATCGTACCCAAAGGTGTACATAACACTTATTTAGGGGAAAGTGTCAACTTTTACGCTTTCACCAAAATCAGTGTTATGTAAACGTTTGGGTCCGATGAGAGTTTACCGAAAAAAATTCTTCATCCTGAACCGATTTCTGATAATGATTCACATTAAATTAGGATTCCACAGTTATGCGTCTGTCCGTCACATACTGGCACCATGATTTTTTGAGCTACTTGAAGTCACCTACAACGTTCATCAACCTTCCGACCATCATAGCCTAGCCTGAGCTGCCGCTCGCACGGCGTTATGATAGAAGCGACGATGGTCACTTTGTGACATTACTGTCAAATCATCCACTACAATTTCCAACTTCTCAGCCTGCTTTCATTTGCACTAACCTCACTACATTTTGTGCGAAACTTTCTCCATTGTCATACGCATAATTTGTGTTTACACCTGCACCCCAGTCCCCAGAGTTCTGGAGTGGACTCGCTGTCCGGATCGTGGGCCAACATGTGGATGAAGTTGGCCTCCAGTTGGATCGCTATACTACTGTATTCATGGACCGTTATCTGTCCTCGATTTTGTGTCGGTCGTAAATTGGGTGATACTCCGTTCACTCCCAGAACCCCGCAAGCTACGATCGCGGCTACCTCTCCGGTGTGAACCGCTTTTGTTTTCTAAAAACAGTGCCAACTACAATAGTTAACTAACTACTGAACCCCTCGCCCACACTACAATGCTATTACCTTGCATCCCCCTCCTTCCCCATATATCTGCCTTCTTGATGGATGTAGAGCATATTTGTTAGCAATTTCAGTCAAATAGGTGACTATGACGCGTGTTTCTAAAACTTAGCTTTAGATATGACAAAACTCATTGCAACTCCCCTCGGACAATCTCTTCCCAGTGAATATCATCCTCCCCCTGACCCCTTCGCCGTTTGTGCTCGAACGATGTGAGAAACACGCTTCGATGAAGTGATTTTCCACGCAAGTTTATGCTACATTTTTTGTTTGGGCATACTCATACACGCCTATATCTTATCTGCAAGCTGGGCCTGTGGTATGCTTTTGTCTTCATGCATTGAGGATCATGTATTTCGGAATTTTTGTGTGTGAAGAACTTATCCGGAAAAGCATTGGTTTCTCTTTTGCATTATGTGAGTTTACCGTCATTGTGTACCATCTCACCGTCGTCGGCTTGATCGTCACCGGTCCAAGCACTTTTCCGACCCATTGAGCTGAGGATGTTTTTCAAATGAGGTGTGATAGACCTTACTATTTTTATCATCCTTAACTGGAACACATCCTGGCGTTTGGAGCATCGAAGCTCAAAGGAACGAAACAGAGCCGCAACACGTAAGAGCTCATTGCATACAATGGCGTAAATAAAATGGCCTGGTGTTGACAGCGAGTAAATCGGCCGAAAAAGTGAGTTACGGAAGAACCTTTTAGCTGACATCAGTCATACAGATTGGGCGTTATTACGCTCTTGGCTGATCCGAGTGCCTTATTCACTAAGCAATCAACAATCAAATCAACAACAGCAATACATCAGCCATTTGAACTGATGCTTCGCTGCCACATAAACATAAGGATCTATGGAATAAAGCATAATAAATGGGTGATCAAGGGGACTTGCCTGAAAATCTTAATGTCCTAAGCAAACATTCACGGTCAAAGGGTCTACACCTTGTGTAGATAAAACATACGTCGCAAACAGCTGTCTATCGTGCAAAGGTAAGGCGACATCGGCGAGACAGCTTCCTTGCGGCTTTCACCACCCGGCGTCATAATCAGCCATGGCCCCGCAAATAAATCAACGCCAAACACACTGTAAACAGGTAATCCGACTAGGAGACAGCAACAGACGCGCCACTTGTGTCGGTTGCCAGCCATATCCTGTAAAGTCTCGAGCCAAACACTAGGCAGGTCACGTGGACTCCAGGCCGGAAGACGAGACGGATCAACAGCACCCAATTTGGTCATCATTGACTTCATTTCATGCTGCCAAGTCAACTTCTGTCCACCTCGAGCCTTGCGCCATCTTACATCTTGCAGACTAAACAAGGCCCTTCTCGGTAAGCGGTGACCAGGCATACGTAGCACGTGCCAGCCAACTCAACTTATTCAGTGGGATTTGATGTTCTAGGGAGCTAGCATGATAATCACTGTCTAGTACTCGCCCACGCACATCATCTTTGCGGATGTGCTGGTGCCATCCAACACCTACAATGCTCCGCAGACAACGATGATCGAAGATTTGAAGGCGCTAATATCTCACTCCTATAGAGGAGGACAGCTCTCACTGTGGCCTTGTAAACACGGCCTTTCAAACGGAGGGAAACTCCCTTCTGTTGCCAAGGTTGCCGCAGGTTCGAGAAGGCAGTTCTGTCTTTTGCATTGCGTGAACTGACTTCAGTTTCACTACACCCATCATTGCTGACGCAGCTGTCAAGGTCAGTGAATCGGTCAACTACCTCGAGTTCCTCGTTATCGAAGGTCAAGGGGTTAGCAAGTGGCCGGGGTTTCTGCAGCAACACTTGATATTTTGAAGCGCATACTTAATAATGGGAGCACATTAGACAGGCTATTAAGGGTAGATTGGGTCGCCTTAACATCGCTAAACAGCAAGACGATATTGTTCGCATAATCAAGGTAAACTGGCATTTCCGCAGATAAAACCTCAATGCCTGCATTTTGAGTTTCCACAAGCGAACACTTCATGATATAACATGCCAGCCAACTGGTTGCATGTTTCATTCTGGGCTGTAACTTTCGGTGCTTGCTGTATCTAACGACGAAAAGAAGTGTCTAAACAAATGAAATGTATACCACGGATCAAATTAAGACCGGTATCTGGGATGAAAATGTTTCTTGAGGAAACCGGAAGATATTTCTCTCACTGTGATACTTGAAAGGGGCTAAATGTGACAGAAGAAATACACGATCAATCAAAGAACCACAGTGATGTGTGCAGTACACTTGAAGATTCTCAATCTTTAAAAAACACGGACTCAAACTGTTAGAAGTGATTGCGTTTGCGGTGTTGGAATGCTAATGTCAACTGCGTTAACATATCACCTTGTAAATGGAAGATTATCCACGTCTATCATATATACTGACCCATGAGTTGTCGAGCATGCACAATTAGCCGGCCTCGTGAATTTGTCGTCCGTGTATCCTTAGGTAAAGAGGGTGGAATTGGTCTTTAACGAAATCGATCTTTCAACCGAAGCATAGTAACTGGATGCATTGTCATTAAGTCACTGCTTTAAGTGAAACATCGCATTTTTTGCCTTATTCCACCGGTGCCATGAAAGCTAGGACAATTAGCATCACTATGAATTATATCTTCACAACTTGCAAACGTACACCTTTTCAGCATTCCTTTCCTACACTCTAGCATATATGATGGATAATATGTTAGTTTACCTCCATCGCTTTTGTGCACATGCACTTAAATTGTAAAACACGAACATTATTTTGTCCGATACGCTATGGCAAATCAAAGCACCGCTTTATTGTATTATTATTGTCACGCACTTTATTGTTGTTGCACTGCGCACTGCTGTCTTTTCTCATCGCTAACCCAAACTTACCACTGTGGGAACAGTTGGAACTGTTGGTTATAGAATTGAAGGCTGGTAGCTCAAGTTGTTCAGATGGCGGTTGAACTGTTCGCTGAGCTTGGCAAGTTTGTTGCAAACGTTTCGTCACAAATCGAGGTGACATCAGTGCGTAGTTGATTGACTGCAGTAGCGTAGAGGAGCCACGGTGAGGGTGCGCTGAGCGTGGTGTGGGTGGTTTTTTTACCTCCATAGTTGACCGTGGAGACGAGCAATCCTACTGGTTGGGACTTCTATCCGCGTTCAGCTTGGTTGATGGGCGGATGACATTTGAATTTGCCTCTTTGTGTGTCGTGGCCTTTGTCTGCTTTCACTTGCGAGCGAGTCTGCCGTCAGTTTTGGTTGTCTAGTCACACGTTCCACCGGATTCAATCGATCGAGTTGGCGGTCGTTCATCAGTAGTGTGGCGTATACTGCGTCCAGTTCGAAGTGTCGATTGATTGAATGCGTTGTAGAATTCCAGGCTTCCAAAACCTCTCTCGCGTGTTCTGTGCTTCCATATGCTAGGATCTTTACATTCTCCAGATCGAAATGGTGGCCTTCTTGATATTCATGCGCAGAAAACAACGAGTGCGGATCATGCCTTCTGACGGCCGCTTTGTGTTCAGTGATTCATGTACCAAGCTTTCTTCTAGTTTGGCCGGCGTAGTTTTTATCGCAGTCGCTGCATTTTATCTGGTAGATGACATTACATTGGTCGGTTTGATTGACTTTTCCTTTGGGTCTTGAGATCAATTTCCTTAGGGTGGCATTTGGCTTGTGAGCCACAAAGATTCCATATGACTGCAGCAATCTTCCTATTAGTTCGGAGAGGTTCTTGATGTAGGGGAGTACTATGCGGATAGTACTCCCTTACAAAAAAATGCACGCAAACCACGCTTAGCGCACTCTCACCAAGACTCCTCTACGCTACTGAACGCTACTCAACTACGCACTGATGATGTCACCTCGATTGGTGACGAAACATTTGAAACCAAATTACCAAACTCTGCGAACACTTCAACCGCCAGTTGAAACTGTATTGGCTTTCTTCTGGTCAACATTTAAACCACGTCTACAAATCCTAGTCATACGTCAGTGTCTTGGAATAAAGTTGGCGCCGTCCGGGATTTCATAACTTCTGAAACGTTTAAAGCACAACTCAGTGTTGGATAGGCCACAACTAAGCCTATATAAAGCCTTCCGAAACCAGTCATACGGCATCTCTGTACGTGTAAAATTACTGTTACGATTTCCGTCACATCGACTTTTACGCTTTTACACTGAGAACCAATCCGTGCGTGAAGTAATTATTATGCGTACAAAGGACTTGTAGGGGGAGTTAAATGGTATAGGTAGAAAGTCGTCACATCTATACTCACTCAGATAACCATCACACACCCGGAAAAGCATTGTACGCGTATTCCATCCTTTTGGGAATTGTAAGCAGTGCACATTCAATCTGACCCCTATGGAGCTCGAACCCGCTACTCGACTGTTTCGTCTAGTGGCACTTACAGCCACGGAGAGGTTTATAGATGAATTGCAACATACAGTCGCAATCTGAAGGAAACGTTGTCCATTTCGGTCACCGGGATCATGTCTGAAATAAATAGGTAATGTCAGTTCACAGCACCTCACATTAGTTTCCAGCTTAGTTGATCTCGTCAGATAGAGATTGCAGTATTACAACTCGCTGACTGGCCCACTTGTCCCTAAACCACTAAGCCACACCAGATCACGCGACTAGGGCACAAGCCGGGTCTGTGTTGAACAGCACAGCAAAACGGTAAATAGATCCATCAGCCACGGTGAATTGATAAACTGAGTCCAGTGGAAAGCACGTATCTTGGCACACAATGCAATGGGGATACCATCAAACTTAGAAGATATGCGAACGAGGAAAGAGTGGCACGCCTACTGAAAAATGGTGTTCTGTTCAGCTGCATATCTACTACAGGGCAACAGAAGCCAGAATATAACCTCTTGCTTGTTAATCTCTGGGACTAACACGGCTGTTCGTAGCCTATTCCATCATCACTTGAAGCTAAACACGAAGTTGGTGTAAGCAAACGTTGATGGGGACAAGCAGGCCACAGCCTGTACCCAAGGTGAACGACGCTCGTGCTCAGGTCCCTACCAAGGAAAGAGAAGGGCCTGCATAAGCACCCTCGGGAAGCGTTAGCCTGTTCGCTGTGGTCTCGGTCGGCCTTAGTAGTCATTTTGCAATTCCTTCTGGTATCGTTTTGGCACGATTCAGAAGACACTGAGAGTGTCTGTGATCATAACTCTATACATGCTGTGACCTAAGTGTTCCAAAACGGAGCCATTTACACTATGTGAACACTTGTAGACAGTGTTCTATCCGTTTCGCTAAGCGCTTGGTAAGATGTCTGAAGTATGTTATCCAAGAGTTAAAAGTAAATTGATATAAGTACGCTTTAGAGTGAATTGGGAACCTAGCATTGCGATATAAGGTAATAAGCGGTGCAGTTTTAGGAATAACAGGTGCGTACGATCTACCGCAGCTTCTCCGGTCGCCGTGTGCCTTGTTTGCGGACGACATGAAGATTTGGAGAGAAATCGACACTCCCAGTGACTGTGGCCTAC